GGATGAAACGGGGGTTGATGGATGGGGAATTTAATTCTCCATTGAACAGTCTTTGTTTCATCCCTTAATATTAATTAGTCGGCGAATAAATCAACTGAAAAACATAAAGTAAACATTGAGTACAAGGAGGACAAAAATCCCCCTCCGAATCTGTCCCTGTCACAGCGGGACTGCTACTGCCGAGTTACTCATTTACCGACAGTTCGACCGGGACGCCGCCTTTCCCGTGGGGTACCAACTAACATTTTTGGCGTCAGTCAAACCCCCCGATCCGGGCCTCTACTCAGGTCTATCCTCTTTGGAACCGGCCCTTAGAGTCCTTAATTCATAGCCTTCATCACAGTTCTTAGTTGCCGAAGCTCGAAAGTTCACGACTATGTACCCTTTTTCGTTGTTAGCGGCAACGGCTATGGCGTTTTCCGCGATCGATTCCATCACCGCTTGTAATTAAAACCATAAATAAGCAACAATTTTCTTACGAAATGTAAACGATTTGAGTTTCAATTTATTTATCAGCAAATTATCGAATCAATATTTGCTGATTTTGCCATTTTACCAAACAACATTGATTAAAAATTTGATTTCAACATCAACAGTAATTTTCGAGCCAGTGTCTAACCAAAGCCACGTGTCCCCAAACGGCCTTCTGACATTTTCCAACAGGTAAGTTTGTTAATGATGTTATCTATCATTGATGACAAAATGCACGTGTGCAAGAATTCATTTTCGGAGTGCAGTAGAATTCTGAAATCGTTGGAAAGCGTTTCCCATACGATTTTTTCTTGTGATTTATCAATTCTTTATTTCCGTGTCGGTGAGGATGAAAAAAAAAATTTTTTTTGGAAAGGGCGAGTAAAGAAGATATTTCTAAAGTTTTAGAGTTGTTGGTGATGATCCCATGTTATTTTCTCTTCCACAGAAACACTGCGGCATGCTGAGAAGGGATAATGGCTGAGTTTGTGGATGGCTGGTTTTTCGGACATACCCTAGGGGAAGGCGCCTATGGGGAGTAAGTGAACAATGGTCTTTGAGAATTGAACTTTTGAAAATGATTTTCAACGTTTGATGACTTCTGATAATGATTCATTTCATTTTGCGTTCCTGCATCTCAAAAATTTCTTGGGATTTAATTCGAGTAGAGTAAAACTTGTGATAAACAAGACAACCGGCGAGGCTGTGGCTATGAAGATGATTGATCTGCAGAAGCATCCTGATGCTAAGCAGAATATGAAGAAGGAAGCGACTGTCCATCGAATGCTGTCGAATCCGAACATTATTAGATATTATGGACAGAGGAGTGAGGCTACAATGGAGTATATTTTTTTGGAGTATGCCTCAGGAGGCGAACTCTTTGATCGAATTGGTATGATATTTTTGATAATAAATCTTATTTTATGGTTGATTTTAAGCACTTTTAGTAATATTAGTATTGGATTGGTAGGAGGAAAGAAATCTTAAATTATGTCATAGGTAATTTCGCAAATATCTTAGACAGGGAGAAAATGTCAACCATTCTCCTGCCAGCCCAACAATTATAAAGACGTTCACAATAGTATATTTCGTAACTGGTGCAAAAAAGTATTTTTTGGCGAGTGGGAGGTTTATATCACGAGCCTTCGGCTCGTGATATAATCCCACGAGCTAAAAAACATTTTTTCACGAGTTACGAACAATGTTTTTCATCACAATGTGGCGGAAATTGGACTTTTAGGCACGCGGAGCGTGCCGAAAAGTTCACTTTTCGCCACAGCGTGATGAAAAATAATTTACATGGAATTTTTGAGTCCACTTTATCACCCCGTGCAAAATAAAATTTTCATTCCATACGTTTTGAAATTTTATTTTCATACTCATCTGTTGTTGCTCAATTTATTCAATTTGATTTATTTTCCATATGAATTATTTTTGCTTCCGAATGGAAGCATTGTAATCGTTCAAAAAAAAGTTTTCGATTTTTTGTATTATATCGACTTATTATGATCCAAAAAGTCCGAAAATGCAATTTTTAGACGTCGTCCGTACGTATGTGTATGTATGTAACGAATTTTTTCAAACTTTCTCTTCAATTTCTCGCTAATGAATCGATGGAATTGAATCTTCTTTTTTTTAAAAAAAATGTAGGTATTGTTGAGCCCTACCCATCACCGTTAATACAAATTAAATTAATTCATTCATTTTTTCAATTTTTGAATTTTTTCAAAACTCGGCTGTAACACGATAACTAAAAAAACAGTTTTAAATTCATTGAATGATGGCTCAAAAAATTTGTGTGTCCTTGTGATCGAGTTCGAAGACGAAGGTGATAGCCATAATTGTTTTTTTGATTTATCTGAAAGTTTGAAAAAATTTTGTATTTTTTGAAAATCAGAATTCCGGGAATATCTTCAAATATTATGCTCCAAATGAATTCAATCATAACTTAAAATGTTCGTTTTCATCCTATTATGTCGCAGGTAAAAGATGATGACAATAGCTATCTCGGTTGATCTGATTTTTATGATGATTTTTGAAAATTGCTAATTTTTCATAAATTTCCCTGAAAGTGAGCTTTCTGATGTTTTTTCTCACATGTGGTGTCTAAAATTCATTCAATTATGTACAAATGAAATTGTTCTGATAACATTTCATCGAAATTTAAAGATTAAACAGATTGCATCATTCTTTCATTTGATTAAAGTAGCTCTACCCCTACGGCTGGAGTCATTGAGTCTATTTCACAAAAAATACATTCTAAAAATCAGTATTTCTAGCTCTAAATTATTAAAATAAATCATAGAGGTCATGAGCATAATTATTATCTTATATCAATTTTTTTAAAATAAAGTGCACATAACCAGTTTTTCAATTGACTAGCTTGCAAATAACTGTGGCAACGCCGTACGATCATATGGGAAGTTGGTGACGAGCGGAGCGGGCGCCATCACATGGTCACTGTTGTCATGTCTATTCCTGTTGCCAGTATTATTAATAATAAAAAAAACTAAACGATAAATCGTTATCCAACAGGTGCCAATATTTTTTATTATTTTTTTCTCGTTTTTAGGAAAAAAATTAGATTTTAATCTTTGTTTTTCTCCGGTGAGTTGTGGTAAATTGACCGTTTTTCACATAAGGCCCTGTGTTAAATAATGGATTTTCAACATTTCCTTTTAGAAAAACTTGAACGACAATTAAATGAGGAAAAAAATTACGATTCCGAATCACATCGAGTTTTTAGGCGATTTGTTGTAGTTTTTAAAAATCTTTGAATTGAAATATAACCCCAAAAGGGTAGAGCTACTTTAATGATCGAATTTTAGAAATTATTCTAAGAGCATTCGAAAGTTTTCGGAAAAAAATTCCCTTCTCTCTCAGATTTCCATGATTTCTCTCCCCATCCCCCCCAGCTCCCGCATCGATTTTGCAGGAAAAATCTTGCGGGACTCTCCATAGAAAAACGATCGAGTGTCGACTCCCTCAATAGTAAAACCGTGAGATTTAGAGTGTCGCAAATTTTGGCCTACTCAACCGGGAATTGAACCTGGGTCCCCGATAACTATACTATATGCAATAAAAAAGCAATTTCCCACTTGTTTTTCATCAAATGGTAATTCTATTGAAAAATTTGATCTTCAGATTTCGAGTAATACAAACAATTAATTGAATTTTTCAGAGCCTGATATTGGTATGCCATCATGGGAAGCTCAAAGATACTTCAAGCAATTAATTTCAGCAGTAGAGTATTTGCATGGCCATGGAGTAGCTCATCGTGATCTTAAGCCAGAGAATCTCCTCTTAGATGATAAGGACAACTTGAAAGTGTCTGACTTTGGTTTGGCGACTGTTTATAGACTGCAGGGTAGAGAGAGACTCTTGGAGAAACGATGCGGTACTTTGCCTTACGTTGCACCTGAGGTATTGGTACATCCATATCGCGCAGAACCAGCTGATGTTTGGTCGTGTGGAATCATTCTCGTTGCATTATTAGCTGGTGGTAAGCAAAATTGAAAAAAAAACAAAAAGAGGGAAATTGCATACTGCGATGTTTTGCAAGCGGTTGATAAACAAAATTAATGAAGAACCAATAATCACAATCAGTTTCGAATCGAAATATAAATGTTGATTGTTCATTATTTCAACCCTGCTGCTTAAGTTACTCGCATTTTGATTTCAGAATTTCTGTACATAATTCCGAACTGTGTAATGAGACCATGTGATTTTTTTGCTTCCGAATGGAAGCATTGTAATCATGCAAATTTAAGTTTTTAATTTTTTGTTTTATATGGACTTATTATGACCCCAAAAGTTCGAATATGCATTTTTTAGACCGTGTCCGTACGTGTGTCTGTATGTGCGTGCGTATGTAACAAACGTTTTTTTCGATTGTGCGCTAGGGAAGCGATGGAATCGAATAATTTTTTTCCCTCAAATGTAGGTATTGGTGAGCCCTATCCACCACCATAAATTAAAATTTAATTCATTCATTTTTAAAATTTTTGAATTTTTTTGAAAATCGGTTTTTTCACGATAACTAAAAAAAAATGTTTCAAATTCATTAAATAACGGCTCAAAAAAATCGTTGGGGTCTCTTCTTGACCGAGTTCGGAGATGGAGGTGATAGCAATCATCGTCAGTTTAATTTTTCGAAAAATCAGAAGAAAGAACAAAAAAATTTAAATCAGAGTACTGTAGATATCTCTGGATTTTCGCCCTCAAATGGATTCAATCATAGATTAAAATGTTTGTTTCAACGTTACTAAGTCAGAGTTGAAAGATAATCACGATAGCTGTTTCGATAAATCTTATGTTTGGGATAATTTTTGGAAATTCGGAAAATTTTCATCAATTTTTTGGAAATTTCGGTTTTTGATGATTTTTCCCAGCAACTTGTGCTAAATGCATCCAATTAGGTGTGAATAAATGTTTTCTGAGAAAATATACTGAAAATTACGAGGCAAGTATAGAATATTATGTCTCAATTTGATTCGTATCATATTTAACAATGCTATATCAAAAAGTTTGTCGTATGCATGAAGAAGATTTTAGTTAGCCTAATTATCATCAAGGAAGCTTGGATCGACTGTATAGTCATTGAAAAAAGCAGTACGTTATATATATATATATATATATATATATATATATATATATATATATATATATATATATATATTTAACATTCATAAAATTGATGTTCATGAAAAGGATCGAAGCAAACCTGTTATGAGCAACTATAATATTAGATTTAACAATCTAAGATTTTAGTTATCCGGGGCTCATAATCCATATTCTCTTCAGAAAACCCAGATAGAAAGTACAAAAGAGAACAGGTATAGATTTGAGAAAGTGATGTTATGATGATTTCATTTTGTTCTTCTTCGTAGTCATTGTTGCCAGTCAGTTTGGATGAATTTTTGAACAACATTCATTCTGAAGTGTTATTGCACTGTGAAACGATTGACGCGACATGCCCAACTTTCTAGATTACATAAAAAATCCATGTTTCATGAAGCGTCCCATCTTAATGAACTCCTTACTCTGTTGAACGAAGAATTCTGAAAAAAATGATGGTTTGAATGAGATTGTGAAAAAAAAAATCATTTTTGGCTCATAATTCTTGAAGCCGAAAAATATAACACTTCCTTTTTTTCATTTGTCTAGGCGATATATTTATTCATAACATTCATAAATCTTATGTTGTATTCCTTCAGGATTTATGATATGCATAAGCTCCATAAATATTCAATTATGCAGTCCATTTCTACTTCACATATATACATAGATGAGGATTTACTCGATGGAATGAGGACACTTCAACAATTTTATGAGGAATCAAATCATCTACAATGAACCATTTCTCTCCCTTCATAATGCATGCTGTATAATGCCCAAAACTATGTTCATTAATGGCTTCTGGATCATGAAAGTTTACTATTCCGGCTAGAACATATTGTTTATTATTAACAGTTAATGTTGTGGTGAAATCATGTATTGGAACTTGAAATTTATGATCTGATGGACAGTTGATGAAAAGATGGTTATGGAAGTGTACACTTTTCAAAATGCATTGTGTACACTTGATACTAACTCCGTTGAGAATTTCATGGATGGTCGTATCTAATATTTCTTGGAAATTTTGACAATAGAGGTGGCCATAATTGAATATTGCTGCAAAACTGGGTTCTATAATAACCTCATCAATTTTTCTATTACCACATGATAAACACTCTGCTGTCATTGAATAACTTGGATTGTGATTGAAAATTATGGGACATAATTCTGCTACTGTCATTAATGCGTTTACAATTACCAAATCAGACCAGAATCTCATTTGTTTTTGAAAAAATTCCTTAGACTGGAAAATATTAAATCTCAGCTGCCGAACATACTGATCATCAACTTTACCATTCATAATTATATATTTGATGAACTCAAATTCAGTAGTATTGGAACGAATGATGTCATTAAAAAAATTTTCTGCAGTACACGCCGCAATCAATATTTTAACAATACTGTCAAATCCGCATGTCTGCTGAAGGCAAAAAGAAATATTTTGGCCAATTATTGGATCGCATATATTGCCATTTCTGAGTATGTACATTTCTTTTTTTTTTCGCAAAGTCGTTCAGTTGATAATGCTTATTCATGATTTGAAGTATTACTTCCATTATCATGATTTGGCAGCTTCCCTTCAGTAAAATTAAACGTTCTATCATGTTCAAAATGTTCAGTTCGATAGCCGGTCAAAAAAGACCAAAATTCATGACACTCCAATCTCACACAAATTATCTCATAAAAATGACTCAAGGGAGGTTTTTCAAAAGTGAAACTTACCTTCGCCCTTCAGAAAATGCAATACGAAGGGATAAAATGAGAAATGAGAATAAGTCGTGAAAACCTAAAAGAGTATACAAAAAAATGATTGATTATTACAACCGATTTGGTAATATGATTGATCGTAAACAATAAGAGAAATAAGAAAAATTCCATAGAAAACAATAACATGGAATACGAAACTGTAGAAATGAACAATCATGATTATAGAAAAATAAAAACAAAATTAGTATGCAAAATGACCGTTCGGAAGCATATTGCTAATCTATTAGCAAAAAAACCATACTATATATGATGCAGGGGCAATTTCCCACTTGTCTAAATTTTTGAATCATTTTTTCGGGCAGCATAAAGTTTCGAAAATTCTTAGGAACTTATTCTCGTAGCGGGGCAGATAAAGTTGAAAATAATGATTGTATTAAGAAATTATTCAGACTGTCAAAATTAATTTTCCAAAACCCATTGTCAGAAGGAAGAAGAATGGAGCTATAATTTTTTTGTGCTTCTAAAACAATTTGTTATTGAATTAAAAATGCAATTTTGGCTCAAAATCGAGGTTTTACAAATTATATTGTCCAATTTTGGTGCATTAAGTGCTATGGTGAAGGCCGTATACCTGAAATGGAGCTTCCAGCTTTTTTATTTAAGATTCAATTTTCTCTATTTTTTTGGGATTTCAATGGAAAATAAACAATGAAATTCTCGATTTCATTACAATTCCAACAAAACTTTATTAATCGAAATAACACAATATGGAGCGAAACTCTCATTTTAATCGTCCTGCAACTGCATTGAAAATTGCAAACTTGATTGTTACAGTTGAATTTAACACAATTTTTACAAAATGGAATGGTTTCATGCATTAATTATGGAGATATAAGTTATTCAGACCACTAGCATTGTATTGGGACAAATAGAGCTATTTTACTAAAGAATATACATAGAGGAACTTGCAAAACTCAATTAAATGATTCAAATAATTTATTTATAGTCGTGGTGATTTTGAACAATGATAATAATAAGAATGATTTTGACGATTCAATTTATGACATTTGAATTATCAATTTATTGATCTTTTAACGAATCTAGCAGAGAAAATTTCAAGTCTTGTCTTGTGCAATTCGGAAACAATTTTCGTAATTTTCGAACAATGAGCATTAAATGCTGTTTGCTATTTTCATCTTTCGTGAGTAAATTATTGTACTGACTCACGAGAGACACTACTCTTTCTGCAATATCGTTCGTCACACGGAGAGATTTGACAATTTTACGTGCAATCAAAAAATCGTCTATTTCCTCCCATGTTGATCGGACACTGTCCAAAAAACTTGAATCAGTTCTTAAAATCTCGAAAAACTTTATTCTATTTTTAGTCACAGAGGAATCTAAACTTAAGTCTCGAACCACTTCCAGATTTATTCCGGTTTTCCTTTTCTGTCTGTCATTATTGAGGGTGACACGAGATTTTAAGGCCTGGCATATCTTTTTCTTGCACTCTGAACTCACATTATCATCGAAGAACGCCCAATCAACTCTTCAAGTAATATACAAGCAGCATTTGAACTGTCTGTATTACTTGCAGTTGTATTGAACACCATGGCGCACACGTCATTAGTTGCGGCGCATTGCTCCAAATAGTTATGAATCGACTTCGTTTGTCCTTTCCCTGTTCCTTCTTGCAGTCGGGCAACACCGAGTAATTGATACCATTCATCACTTGGTACCAAAACTGGAACTCTATCAATTTTCTCAAATTTATTTTCTGGCGCTGACTGCTGCTTGCCATCTCAGTAAACAGTGAGAACATGGCACAATCTCTTTTTCGCATTATCTCGAATTACATCAGTCAGCATCTCTCGATGTATCCGTCGATTCAGCCCGACACCTACGAAAAAATTCAATAAAAAACCTAGCGAATTCGCTAGAAAATTCTATTGGAATTCTATAAGAATTCTATGGGGTTTCTATTGGGATTCCATTGAAAAATTCTATTCGTTTTTTGCACCGATTCTATTGGATATTCGATAAGAAAAAGTCAATAGATTTCAAATTTCTGTTTGAATTTTTCTGGTGAGATTTTTTCTAGAAGAATGCTTGGGCATCAATTTTCGAACTTTTTCCCACTCAGATTCTGTAACGCAAAATAACTAAATCCAATGGAAA